ACATCTCTATATAACTCATTCGTATATATATATATATATATATATATATATATATATATATACGTAAATTGAGAAAATTAACTGAATGTGATATACGTAAGAAGTATGGATAAGTTGTATCAAATGGTTGATGATGAAAAAGAAATTATGAGTAAAAAAATAACATGTTCAAGGTTAAAAGAATATTTTAATGTATCAAAATATCAACCTGTTGGGTTGGGTTGCACTTTCGTTTGGGTTGTGTTAGGTTAAGATTTTTCAAACCGCAAACATTTGGTTGGGTTGTTAAATGTCTTCAACATGATCAACACAACCCATGAGCGTCTCTAGTTGTAGTTTCATTAGGCAGTAAGAGATGGTTGATCAACACATAAGATTTAACTTATCTCTCCACTGCATTTTATATTTATGCTCCCAGTGTTGCTTTATAATGTGAAACAATGCATATAGAAACAATGTTATTTCACAGTGTGATAGTTTTTTATTTCAAATTGAAACAACATTGTACATTCACGTACAAACAATCGCATGTTGTTCCATATTCTGGAAACAAGTTTATTTAGTTTCAATATAGGAAAACTGTTTTTTCCCGTCTAACAATTACTCGTATAAACAATTGTATTTCAATTAACATTTAATTATATAGAGGAATATAACGATAATTGTTTATGGCAAACGTTTACTACTAAACACTTGATAAACAACTTTCAGTTAACAGATACTCATTTCAGTCAGTAAACGGTCGCTAAATTGGCTTTTACTGACAAATTATAATTTTAACTGTTAAACGAATGCTTTGATTTTGTTAAATAGGTTAAATGTGTTTGTAAGAAAAGAATGCTAACAGATCTTATACGTCATAGCAACAAAAAACTTGGCTCTAAACATTTCCCGTTCACATTTTTCCATGAATGAATGATTACTTTAAGAGTAAATTGATTTTTTCGTTCGTATGGTTTGTTAAAAATTGTGGATTTTAATCACAAGGGTGGTGCCTAATTGGTTTGAGCTTGACTCCAAAGGTCAAAAGTATAAGGAGGTCTCAGGTTCAAATTCAAGGAAGAATAAAAATCCCCTTGTGGCCACGGAAGTTCAAATGCGGTGACTCAAGACTATCTGCAAAGCAGGTGGTCGTCATGGGATTAGTCGGCTCGTATAGCGGATTGGATATCCAGGTTAATTAAAAAAATTGTGGATTTTGTTCTTATGGTTTTAAAATTTCGATTTTTATTCCTATGATTTGTAATTCGTTTATGTTTTCGTCTCTGAGGTCAAAACACTACTTTTATTAACGAAGAACTAAAACAAAATGAATTTTAAACCACAGGCACAAAAAAATGCAATAAACTTTAAATCATATAAGGATGAAAAAGGTAATGAATTATAAAAAACAGTAATTTCAAAATCATAAAAGACGGAAATAGAAATTTTCAATAAACCACCGGGGCTAAAAACGTAATTTACTTTTACTTTAATTTTTGCAAACAAAAACGCGTACAATTATCTTGTTTTTCATTTTATTTTTAGTAACGTGTTGAGAACTTAACTTTATTCGATAACTTTTTTTAGTCAAAACATTATAAAACAAGTTTTTTTTCACAAAAATTCTCACTTTATTTAAACTGTTATATAATTGGTAATCAGATATTAAACAACGTTCAGACAGAAGAATCCATACTTCCAAAAGAAGTAGCTTGCTTTGCAAGGAAACAGATGAATGGATTAATTATTGTTGGAATGTCATGACTTCAACTTTTAATCTAAGATCATTAAAATAATGTTCTTATAAAGGACAAAAAAAAGGTCACTTTTTTTTTTGCAAAATCAATTGATTCAAGACTAAAAATTATCAAGAATGACTGATTGAAACCCTAGTCTTGTGATCCTCTCTCGTTCAACAAACGATGAAATACACGATCGCGGGTTTGGTGCAAGAAGACCTCCTTCCTCTTCTATACTTCTCCGGGCCCCCACCATCAGACGGTCCAACCCAACCCCACCACTATCTGAGGTTCCCTTCTCGTCTGCAAATTAAACCATTGAGAAGCCATGATAAGCTGAACTTATTTGGGGGAATCACAACCATCTTTCAAGATATTTAATTTGGAGACCTCCATATGAATTGTGAGTTGGGTTTGAGTTTGAGTTTGAGTTTAAGTTAGGGTTTAACATATTTCCAGTTTTTGGAAGTGAAAAGCAGTTTTGTTATAATCAATTTGTTTTAGTTTGTGCATGCGTACATATATGTGTATCTGGTGGTGGTGGTGATGGTTGTCTACTTACAAAGGGGAGAGAGGGTTAGAGGCTGTTTATCAAATACTTACCCGGTAAACACTTTTTGATAAAATCTAACACTGTCATTTACTTATCGGATGAGATTTTAGCCCACCAAAACGATATCGTATGCAACAATTTACCCGATAAGCGTTTAGTAAACGGGTCCCTTGGTCTGTTAAAAGAAGGAAATGAACAAAAGAACAACGATACTCTCATGTGCAAGTCACATGAGAGAGATTAACCGGAAGAAGTTCATAGATTTAGCTTCAGGATCAAAACGAAACATTTCTTTATCATATAGGGATTTTCTTGCAATAAAAGGTTTGTCGAGAACCAATACAAAAAAAAACATAAGGACCAAAATTACAATTTACTTTTTCTTTATTAACCTGGATATCTAACCCGTTTTGCAGGTAGCCTGGAGTCACCGCATTTGAACATCTTGGCCACAAAGGGATTTTTGTTTCTCACTGGATTTGAACCTGAGACCTTCTAGCTTTTTTGACATTTGGAGCCAAATTCAAACCAATTAGGCATCACTCTTATGATTTACAATTTACTCTTATAATAATCACAAAGTAATTCCATTTGATAACACAAAAAGTAGATGTGAAAAGGAGTAAAGTGAGCACACAAAAGCTTAAAAGTACAAAAATACAAAAAGTACCCAATAAACTCTATCAACCACTTTTGGCACCATCACCAAAAGTTGCAAAAACCACACATAAATATATCACATTTATTGAATAAGACAAAAAAAAATTCCATTTATCACAAAAACCTACCAAATCGATCATAAAACCTAAAAATTCATATTTTTAAATCACTTACTTTTTAATCAAATATATTCTAATAAACTTATTTAAAAATAACTAGAAGAGTACTCGCGAAATGCAGCGAGACACATCTCGATTTTAATGTTTTATTTTATTATTTGTCTCTATCGATATTATAATACGATTTTATGTGTTTTTAAGAAACCAATAATGATTTTATTTTTGAATAAAATATAAAT